CCCCCCCCCCCCCCCCCCGGTTTTTATGTAGTTTGTATTTCTCAGATGTACTCCTGTTCTATTTTTTTGCTCAGAACTGATCTGTTACTGGACTCATGACTTGGAGACCAGACCCTAAATCCAGAGATGGCAATCCGGATATGGAGGCTGGTGAAACCTTAGGAGAATTCATGAAAATTTTTGCCACACTTGGTGCCTAGGCCCTGCTCACAGCAACCCCTTCTAGGGTTATTTATGGCATCTTTTGATGCCTTCCTCACGCCCACCTCACTTGTAGCCAATCAAACCATTCATTCTTTGCAGGATTTGCCTTTAGGCTACAGTTTGGTCCTTGGGCGCAAGAAGTGTACTCTTAATGAAATAACTCTTGGGCACGACTCCAAGCCCAGAATTCCTAACTGAGCACTGTGCCACCAACACATTGGCCTGAACATATTAGTGCAATCCAGTCCAGATTGGACCACTGATTCTGTCTGGAAGGGCTTTATTTTTTAAAAAAAATTTCTTTTTTTGTAAACAGTGTTGTGTAAAATTGCTTTCTTAATACCAGCATACGCATGTTTTGTGCATGAATAGTACTCATTTTGATATTCTTGTTGATGTTAAATTACTGTATAATATAAACAGTATGTGTTTTTATATACCATTGTGTAAATTTAATATAACGTTATATGCGGTAATAAACAATTTGTTTTACTACTGTTAAGTTTGTTACTTGGGTATAAAACCAGATGTTTACACCTATAAACCGTGTGATAATTGGTGTTATTTGTAAAATTTATATTATTCCAGCATTAGAATACTTGGAATAATGAAGCCAGATTTTACTAGCCTTGGAATGGATGATGAGTAAGCAAATGAGGAAAAACAATTTCTTTAGGAAGTTACTTTAAAATTTATGGTAAATTTTATAGGTGTCTTCTAAAGAAAACATTTCTGAGAAGAATTCTCTTCCCCTATTTTGTTATAAAAAATTTACAACATATGGCAAAGTTGAATAAATAGCTGTGTAGCCACCGCCTAGATTTAGTAATTGCTAATGTTTTGCCACATTTACTTTAACTCCCTGTGTTTGTATTAGGTTTAACCAAATACTGGTTTTGTAGGCCAAAGACAGAGACTGGCAATCCCTTCCCCCACCACTCATTGATACGCTAAATTTCAGGTATGATATTTTTAGTTCTAGAGAGCACGAATTACCTGTATAAACACAAAATCATCATCACAGCTAAGGAAAATAAACAGTAATTCATACCATCAAATATATAATTTATATTCAAAATTTCCCAATTTATTTCAAGAAGTTTTTGACAGCTTCCTGTCTATGTCCTCTCCAAACCAGGATTCAGTCAGTTTTATGCATTGCATTTTGACTGTAGGCTGTAGGTCTCTAGGGCTGTCTCTCTACATTAAAAACAAAAAGAAAGGGCTCGGGACCCACACAGCTCAGAGGCTGGGGCACCGGCCACATGCACAGGGGCTGGCTGGGTCAACCAGGCGTAGCCCTGCCAAACAACAATGACAACAAAAAATAGCTGGGCATTGTGGTGGGTGCCTGTAATCCCAGCTACCTGGGAGGCTGAAGCTAGAGAATCACTTAACCCTAAGAGTTAAGGTTCCTGTGAGCTGTGATGCCAGGACACTTTACCCAGGGTAACATAGACTCTGTCTCAAAAAACAAACAAATAAAAAATAGGTTTTTTAAAGAGTCAGGACACTTCTCTTGTAGAAGGGCCCACATCTGAATTTGGTTCTTTATGTTCTAGTCCCTTCATTCACGTAAATTGTGTAGGGCTTGATTGAATCCAGTGTAAAAGTTCTTGTCAAGTTTTCTTTCCTTTTTTTTTTTATTGTTGGGGATTCATTGAGGGTACAAGAAACCAGGTTACACTGATTGCATTTGTTAGGTAAAGTCCCTTTTACAATTGTGTCTTGCCCCCAAAAGGTGTGTCAGACACCAAGACCCCACCCCCTTCCTCCTTCCCTCTCTGCTCTTCCTTTCCCCCACCCTTCCCTCCTTCTTTCTCTCTCTGCTCTCCCCTTCCCCCACCCACAAGGTGTCATTAATTGTCATTAATTGTTCTCATATCAGAATTGAGTACATAGGATTCATGCTTCTCCGTTCTTGTGATGCTTTACTAAGAATAATGTGTTCCACTTCCATCCAGGTTAATACAAAGGCTGTAAAGTCTCCATTTTTTAAATGGCTGAATAGTATTCCATGAGAATACTACATTCATTTTTAATCCATTCCTGGGTTGGTGGGCATTTAGGCTGTTTCCACATTTTGGTGATTGTAAACTGAGTTGCAATAAACAGCTAGTGCAAGTGTCCTTATGATAACAGGATTTTTTTCCTTCTGGGTAGATGCCCAGTGATGGGATTGCAGGATCAAATGGGAGGGCTAGCTTGAGTTCTTTGAAGTTTCTCTGTATTTCCTTCCAAGAAGGCTGTATTATTTTGCAGTCCCACCAGCAGTGTCAAAGTGTTCCCTTCTCTCCACATCCATGCCAGCATCTGCAGTTTTGAGATTTTGTGATGTGGGCCATTCTCACTGGGGTTAGATGGTATCTCAGGGTGGTTTTGATTTTGCATTTCTCTAATAATTAGGGATTATGAACATTTTTTCATGTGTTTGTTAGCCATTCATCTGTCTTCTTTAGAGAAGGTTCTATTCATGTCTCTTGCCCATTGATAGATGAGATTGTTGGCTTTTTTCATGTGGGTTAATTTGAGTTCTCTATAGATCCTAGTCATCAAGCCTTTGTCTGATTCAAAATATGCAAATATCCTTTCCCATTGTGTAGGTTGTCTATTTGCTTTGGTTGTTGTCTCCTTAGCTGTACAGAAGCTTTTCAGTTTAATTAAGTCCCATTTGTTTATTTTTTTTTGTTGTTGCAATTGCCACAGCTGTCTTCTTCATGAAGTCTTTCCCTAGGCCGATATTTTCCAGTGTTTTTCCTGTGCTTTCTTTGAGGATTTTTATCATTTCATGCATCTGGAATCAATTTTTGTGAGTGGAGAAAGGTGTGGGTCCAGTTTCAGTCTTTTACATGTGGATACCCAGTTCTCCCAGTACCATTTATTGAATAGGGAGTCTTTTTCGCAAGGTATGTTCTTGTTTGGTTTATTAAAGATTAGGTGGCTGTAAGACGTTAGTTTCATTTTCTGGTTTTCTATTTGATTCCAAATGTCTATGTCTCTATTTTTGTGCCAGTACCATGCTGTCTTGACCACTATGGCCTTGGACTGCAGCCTAAAATCTCGTATGCCGAAGCCCCCAGCTTTGTTTTTCCTAGTAAGAACTGCCTTAGCTATATGGGGTTTTTTCTTGTTCCATACAAAACAAAGAATCATTTCTTCCAGGTCTTGCCAGTACAATGTTGGTATTTTAATAGCAATGCTGTTGAATCAGTAGACTGCTTTGGGAAGTATAGACATTTTAACAATGTTTATTCTTCCCAGCCATGAGCATGGTATGTTCTTCCATTTGTTAATATCCTCTGCTATTTCCTTTCTTAGGGTTTCATAATTTTCTTTATAGAGGTCCTTACCTGTTTTGTTGGGTATATTTCTAGGTATTTCATTTTCTTTGAAGCTATGGTGAAGGGAGGTGTGTCCTTAATTAGCCTCTCATATTGGCTATTATTGGCATATACAAAGGCTACTGACTTGTGGACATTGATTTTATATCCTGCGATATTACTGTATTTTTTGATGACTTCCAGGATTCTCATGGTTGAGTCTTTGGGGTTCTTTAAGTGTAAGATCATGTCATCAGCAAAGAGGGGGAGTTTGGCCTCCTCTTTGGCCTCCATCCATTTGGATGCTCTTTATTTCCTTGTCTTGCCTAATTGTATTGGCTAGAAGTTCCAGCACTATGTTGAATAGTAATGGTGATAGAGGACAACCTTGTCTGGTTCCAGTTCAGAGAGGAAAAGCTTTCAGTTTTACTCCATTCAGTAAAATATTAGCTGTGGGTTTGTCATAGATAGCTTTGATCGGTTTAAGAAATGTTCCACCTATACCTATACTCTTCAGTGTTCTAATTAGAAAAGGATGCTGGATTTTATCAAATGCTTTTTCTGCATCTATTGAGAGCATCATATGGTCTTTGTTTTTGCTTCTGTTAATACAGTGAATAATGTTTATGGACTTGCGTATGTTAAACCAGCCTTGCATCCCTGGGATGAAACCTACTTGATCAT